TATGATCACACAGAATCACAGAATGGTTAAGGTTGGAAGGGACCTCTAGAGATCATCTAGTCCGACCCCCCTGCTCCAGCAGGGAGACCTAGAGCACGTGGCACAGGGTGGCATCCAGGTGGGTTTTGAAGATCTCCAGAGAAGAGACTCCACAACCTCTCTGGGCAGCCTGTTCCAGGGCTCTGTCACCCTCACAGGAAAGAAATTCTTCCTCATATGGAAATTAAACTTCCTATGTTTCAACTTGCACCTGTTACCTCTTGTCCTGTCACCAGCCCCGCGGCCACCACGAGCCTGGTCCCATCCTCCCTGCATTCACCCATCAGGTACTTGTACATGTTGATGAAATCTCCTCTCATTCTTCTCCAGACTAAACAGGTCCAGCTCACCTATCATACAATAGGTGTTCCAGTCCTTTAAGCATCTTTGTGGCTCTATGCCGGACCCTCTCTAGAAGTTCAATGTCCTTCTTGCCCTGGGGAGCCCAGAACTGCACGCAATACTCCAAATGCGGTCTCACCAAATCAGAAAATCAGAAAATCAGTAGCAGAATCTAATATAGTTGGTCTACATTACAGTGGTATAACCTGCTTGGACTTGTTTGTGAACAGGCTGCAGATTTCAGAATCGATTTTTTTCTGTTCAATGATACATCAGATAAATCATCAATGATATAGCAGGTGAGTCATCTTTCACACTTTTTAAAAGAAATCAGAAAGAAGTCAGAATAAACACCAATTCTTCTGTGAGATAGGACAGAAGAAGGTATGGAACATTTTTACTCTTCTGGATTTAGAAAAGATATAAGTTTGTGTTGTGAGTCATGACATAGGCTCTAACATCCAGATATTTGGATATTATTGGAAGATTTTTTTCCCATCTTTGTAGTAGTTCCATTTTCTTTTTTGCTAGAACTGCTGTTGAATGCAGCATATTCATATTCATAATCAATCTTTGTAGAGCAGACTGTGCTGCAACATGCTAAAAGATGTTGCTCATTTCAACATCTCTGATTTCATTGGCTAATATGCAACTGTCTTGCTGCACATTACTGCACGTTACTTTATGAATTTTGCAGGGGATCTACTTTAGGTATTTTGAAAATGTGTGAAGTATCTGAAAAAACCCTAGAACTTTTCATTCACATTTCCTATTACTTTTACCTTATTTTTGTGTCATAAATGGAAAATAAATGACCTTACACATATAAGACAGAAGCAATATTGCTGGTTTCAAGCATTTTGTCTTCCTTCTAATGGTTCTGTGAACATCAATTGGTATTAACTAGTATTTGAAGAAGGAATGTTTTGCTCTCAAGCTTCTTTTATAGCTTTTTCACCAAGAGTAATTACTCATGCATTATTTCGACAATTACAGTTAAACAAAGAATAGAAAACATGGCAAATAATAAATAGACAAAACCTTCTTCCTAATGTCATAAAACATGAATCTTTTATCTATATTCTAAAACTGAATAGCAAAATATTTACCAGCTAACAATGTTTATGTATTGTTTAACTCCAGTGCCCTTACAATACCACAAGTGTTTAAGGTCAGTGCAGAATGAGCAAATAAGACTGTGAAAGAAACTAACGTTGCTGTCCATTTGATTTAGGATACTTAAAAAATAGAAGAACAGACAGATTTTCAAAGGAGACTTCACTAAGTGTGATGAATGTTCAACAAAACTAGCTCAAAGCTGTTGTCATGAATATGAAGCTGAGCCCTTGTTGTTAGTGAGGTTAATGACATGCCCACCAGTACTGATGAAAAAGATGGCAAAGTGAATAAGACTAAGAAAATCAACAGTGAAGAATATATTTAAAAGAATCGATACAGCTAGAAGAGATTATTTAAGAGTCATGTTGAAACTATTTTTTTGAAGGAGACAATTATTCATTTCTCTGTATTAACACCTTCAAATATTTAATATGAATAAATTTAATGTAAAGATTTCAGTCTTTGATAGAAACTCTAATATTTCTGTAGGCAGATCATGCCTGTTATCCTCTCTCTCCCATTACACTGATGTTCATTTAGCAGAGAAAATCTGTAGTTTCTTAGAGTGAGACATTAAGGCTTCTGCTCTTTTACTTTTTTACTTTCCAGAGTAAATAAATTAGTGTTTAACATTTTTGTCATGGTAACATTTGCCAATGTAATGATACCTTTTTCCTGAAGTATGTGCAAACCATAAAATACATGGTGAATGAAAAATAAATATTCCAATATGTTATTGGGTATGGTATACCCAGAATAACTGACATGTAAGTAACTAGCACATGGAAATACTTAAGATTTGTAAAGTAAAATCCCATTAGTTTTAATCAACATTTTGGTTCTTCTCTTCTCCTAGGTGTATCATATGCTTTGGTATGGGTGCTATGCTACCTATGCTATTGAGAGTTCATCCAGTCTAATTGGATCTAGTCTAGCCAGTCTAAATCCTTCAGAGCCATTGTAATCAAGAGTTTAGAACATTATCAGTGAGAACAGACCACATCAAAAGGATATTTTGTATGATAAGTAAGACAAGTGACAATGATCTGTGTGCCCTTAAACCCAGTGTAAACTCATGATTTGATTTAGGATTTCTAAAACAGAGAATTTGTACAGTTCAGTGGGATATGAAAGAGTAAGTAACATTTTAGTACATAGCTATGCATACATAGAGAGAGAGGACTGATTATCCATGCTGAAAGCCAGTAAATTTTTTAACTTGGCTCACTATTTTCTGAAAAAAAAAATCTGGAGAATATAATACTGGTATGAAATGATCTACCTGGTTTGAATTCCATAAAAAGACGTGCTTAACAATCCTATAGAGATTAATGATTCTGACAAAAAAAAAAAAAAAAAAAGGCCTACAGGTATTCCTATAGAAGAAATAGAGTGTCCTAATCATGTAGGTGGTTTTAAAAAAAATACCTTCCAAATTCTGCTACATTGGTTTTAGCATCTGAAGGAAATCTCTCAGTGAATACTCATTGTGTTAGGAACTCTAGTGCCTTGAGTGCTTGAAACAAACTCCAGCCCCAGAAGATATGCTTTTCTGTCATCATTGAGATACCTATCATATTTCAACTGATTCAACTATCTGTTCTTCAGCCATTAGCTGATTTCATCCAAGAATGAGACTAAATTGATGGTATACCTGTTCTTTCCTGCCTATTACAGGACCAGTTCCTATTTCATTTTAGAATAGCTGTTGCCTGCTCTCATAGATTGAATGAACATTCACAAACAGCAGTGTTTGGAGCACACAAGACACATCACTAGCACAGAACCTTCAATTTGATTTAATCTAAAAGGAATTCAATTATATGCTCCAGGAATATTCTGTAAGAGGAACTAAAGCATTCTAAGTGAGAAAGAATGGAAGATTCACATCAAAAGTGCAGTATGGATCCAAACCCAAAGTTCTGAAGTATCCAAAAGAGCTCTCTCTCTCTCTTTTTTTTTTTTTTTCTTTTTTTTCTTTTTAAATAAGCAAGCTATTGCTGAATAAACTGCAGACCAGGAAAAGACATTCCAGGAACTCTGCTGGATTAGATGCTCAATAGAGAATTTAATAAAACATTGTGCTTAACTCAAACTTAACCAATATTAAAAAATGCATACACAATTCACAGGCTGTATTTGGTATATTAGTAAGATTTTAATTAGTAAGACATCAGAATGACAAAAAAAAATTTAAATGTACTCCTTAAAATAAACAGCATTATGGAACTCATATACTGCAGTTCCAGCTTTTAACATTAAGAGATTTTACAAACTTTTAGACATTATAACATAACATTATTGATATTCATCATTGTACTATGTCCTGCAGCACCACCAAAAAAATGTATCAACAAAGCTGTTCTTTTCGTACTCTCTAACCTAGAAATTAAGGCATTTACGCAGAACTCAATTTTAAATTAGAGGTTGCAAGAAATAAATAAAAAATGCCTTTGTTAATTGAATGCAAAAATTAGTTCATATTTCTTATGAATTCAGAAAACTAGTAAGGGTTTAATATGTCCAATTTGTCCTCCGCATTATTATTGCTCTATAAAGCTTAGATACAAATTGAATTTAAATTATATTTTCAGTTCAGTTAACAAAAGTATTGCTTCCATATTGTTGTTGTCTTTTTTCCAGTTGTTTCATTGCTCTTCTGTTCCAAAGAATGAATTAATCCTAAAAGAATTATTTCCTGCATAATTCTGACCTTTTACTATAATCCAAATAGCAGTTAGATTAAGCTTAGAAATAGGACATAATTATGCTGATTCTTTCAGAAAGATTGTTTTAAACTTTGAAAAAAAAAAGCATTGTTATGTGCATATACAAATAAAGCATTGGTTACAGTTCACATGAATTGACATGCATGTATCTTTGGATTAATTTAAATTTATCTACCATTTTAATGTTTGTGGTTTTGGCATAATTTCCCACACTTGCATTAGCATTAATGGACTGCATTTTTATTTCACTTTTTTGCACTTGGTTAATTATGCTTTCTTTACCTCTCAGTTGCTGTTAATAAGCCTCTTTATGTATATCTCATTTTTGTATGTTATGTACAAGTTACATTCAACAGCTTAATGAGTGACTGTAATGATTAATTGGTAAGTTATTTTATAAATTTTGCTCTTAACACCTTTTGAGATTAGCTATCTAAGCAAATCAATTGATCAAGTTTAGAAGGAAATAGCTTTGACTATATATGGGAGCATTCTTTAAATCTTTTTCTTGTAATTATCAGTTCATCATTCTGCACTTTCAGCCCAGACTCATGTCTGAAACAAAGCTCTACATTTGCATTGAAGAAAATGAAGGAAATAAATGAAGGGAGTTTGGGAGTTTCATACTTTAAGTATGAAAAAGGAACAGGAAATTTTATCAAGATGTATGAAGTAATCAGAAAATTTGAGTAAAACTTTGCCAAATTTAGACAAAAAAAAGATATCTAATGCCAATTTTGCATACATTATCCTATTAATGTGTCTCATCAGGTGCTACAACCATTGAAAAGTACGATCTGAGAACAAATATATGGATCCAGGCCGGAATGATGAATGGCAGAAGGCTTCAGTTTGGTGTTGCTGTCATTGATGAAAAACTGTTTGTCATTGGAGGTCGGGATGGTTTAAAGACATTAAACACTGTTGAATGCTACAACCCAAAGACGAAGGCTTGGACTGTGTTGCCACCAATGTCAACACATAGGCATGGTTTAGGTAAGGAGAAAGCTACCACATTTTTCAGATATATTGCTTATAATGCAAGCTTAGCACTCTTAGTACTCTTAATAGTAACAGTAACTGCTTAAATTGTTGAAATTTAAATTGTTTAAAATTGAAAGAAACTTAAATGGCTTTCTTTTTATCATTTTCCAAAATATTAATACTGAAAGAAACAGAAAAGGCAGAAAAGCAAGAACAGAAATCCTGAGTCTTACACAGGTTGGTCAGAAAATTCTTTTTTTTAACAGATTTTGAAAAAGCAAATCTTACTAAACAAACTAATGTATTATACTATTATACTAAACAAACAATGTATTATGTGCTTTCATTTATCTGATATGGTATGAAGTATGCTGATATTCTGTGTTAGTGATGGACTTTGCAATATACAGATAGCAATAGCTTCAGCATGACTGATTGATAGAAATATTTTTCCATAGCTCATCTCAGGTAAGTTTCATTTATGGTGTGATCCATATGACTATCAGAATGCTAAAGATTGCCTGATATTTGGAATTGTAAAGAAAGATAAATGTGATATCTAAATTCATTTCCATTTCCTGAATCCAAATACACAAATAAGAACTCTTTCTTTTTATAAGTTTATTAAATCTAACCTTTTACACATTTTCATCTAAGCTAGTGAACTCTTCCTGTTTACTATCAATGGAGAGAAAAAGGAATTTTGAAAGTATAATTCATGTTATCTATTTTAAAAAATTTCTGTAGAATAAAATGAGTTACACCCTAGAATACAATTGGACTATGTACACGTATACATATGTTGTATATGTCCTGATTTAATTTTTCATTAGCAATGTGTACTATAATTTCATTGGTTTCCAAAGATATGCAAAAAGACAAGATTTAAATTAATATATTTTCATATGTCTGGAAGACAATGGAATTATGCCACATACTACTAATGAGGAGTTAAAATCAAAACAAAACATGCACAAACTATTTTTCTCCTTTCATGCAAATTCCAAATCAAGATAATGCCATAAATAGGGATTAAAAAAAGGAAAACAAGGACACCTGTTGTTATATATTAAAACTGCTTTCTTTTTTTACTGAATTATTTACCCTTTTGTGTTAGCTGTGTTAAAATCTTAGTTATTATATTCATTTTCTTTCTGGAAAATGTCTGGAGACTACCAAGCACGAGAAAATGAGCCTATCAGTCAGTAATTTCACTGTCTTTTAAGTCATCAGATATCCCAACTACAATTTACAATTCTGTTGTTTTTGCTGCTGCTGTTGTTATCTCCATTATCATTATCACGATCATGATATTTTTCAGATTTTTTTAGCTAAGGGTAGAAGACAATTTGATTTACTCTGAGAAATATGCAATAATTTTGTTTCATTTTTGAAATTCAGCAAAACACACTGTATATTTTCCTTAAAATATATTTTTTCTATCATTCATATATCCATACATACTCACATATAGACATATAACAGGAAAAAATCCTCATTTATTCAATTAAATGAATAATATTTAAATGTTTCAAAAATATCCTTTCTTATTCATCACCTGCAGGGTGATGAGATTTTCTGTCTTAAAAAGAGTAATTTAGAATCTGTATGACATTCCTACCATCACATAACACAAATAAGGCCTAGGAAACCAATCTGTCCATTTTCTGTTCTGCTAAGGTCGCTCAGTTTGACAAAATCATTATGAAGTCATGAAAAATAGAAATGGAAAAGACCTGCTAGGTCATTCTACCCATTCCCCTGAGTTGCAATCTGTAACAAGTCTTTTAATGTTCTTTTGTATCAATATCTCTCAAAATCAAAATGCATATTTTTTTCCTGACATTTGACACTAGTAATATGCATTTGTACAGTAGCTGGCATAATGCAGTTTGGCTATTAAACATGGTCTATAGGTTTTACAGTAAAAGGTAGTGATGGGAATCTATGTCAAATGGCACGGTGATATGAAATAGCTCTGTGATTTCAAATTGTTTCTGAAGATCAAATGTAATTATAATGATGCTGAAATACATATAATGTCTTCCGTGCCAGTGTTCCAGAATTTTACAGAAACTGTTATTACTTCTAATACTCTTCTCAGAGGAGTGCTAAAATCGCAATGACTTGAGCCATTACACACAAAAACATTAAGAAAACATTAGGAAATGCACAGTAGAGAAAAACTTTTCCCAGTGGCAAGACAGGCTGATTCAAGCCATTTGTAGTTAATTCCAAACGCTTGTTATTTTGGATTGACACTTTTATGGCTACTTTTGAATCAATGGATGTAAACGGTGCCCTTATACTTTAAGTAAAGCTTCCCAGGAATGTTGACAGAATCACAGAATGGTTGAGGTTGGAAGGGACCTCTAGAGGTCATCTAGTCCAACTCCCCTGCTCAAGCAGGGACACCTAGAGCACACTGCACAGGGTTGCATCCAAGTGGGTTTTGAAGATCTCCAAAGAAGGAGAGTCCACAGCCTCTCTGGGCAGCCTGTGTTGAGATGATGATTGAAACAAAAATGATATATTTCCCATAGGACAAAAAAAGGGGAACTTACAAGGAATCTCATCACTTGAGGTGAGGAAAAGAAAAACAAGCAAACAAACAAAAAAAAACCTTTTGGGTATTGTGTGAATTGATGTATTTTTTACATGTAAAATAAGGAAAGTTTTAAAAATTGTGATTTTATTGACCTTTTTATAAGAGAGATAATGTTTTGTAATAACTAAAAGGCGGTGATGGAAATGATTAAAGGCAGCGGTTTGTAAACAACAGAGTTATTCTCTTTTTTCTCATTTGAAACTGCATAGAAACTATAATACAGTATTTCCTGACATGCTTAAGTAGTAGATTTTTTTACCATAAACTTGCATAAAAATGTTATTTTAATAAGTATCCTTTTTAATGAGGAAGAAATATGGATCCATAGTAAGAAAATAATTTTCATTTATTTCCTAAAATATATAGTTTGTTATATCTTTTTAGTAATGATGACAGAGCTAACTGAATTGTATTTTACATACAAGATTTGTAACAGACATCACTACTTTAGACAGATGTCTTTTTGGTGATACCTTTAAAAATATTTTGGATTTACTTTGTTGTAACTAAGATCATAGCCAGGAAATCCAATACCTTTGTTCTCTCTTCATACAATCATTAGTGAAATTATGTGAAATAAAGCTGATATATGTGGAAATGAGAAAAGGAAAATGAAAAAAAGTCACATAGTGAAAGAATATGCTGCAGGAACTCATGTTAGGTGGTTTCAGTGCCATCAACAGAAGATGAGTTGGTGACAGTTGGTGACAGGAAGCAGTGAATAAGTGATACTAATAGTCAAAAAATAAAGGATGAGCTGAGGGACCCACAAATTTTATTTCAGCTAACATTTACTTTAGTTTAACAGACAAATAAAATAGTGTGCAATATAAGAGAGTAATATGAAGCCAGAAAGAGAGAGAAAGGTGCAAGTGAAATATGAGGATGGTAGAAGAACCTACGTGAGAAATAGGAAACAAGTCAGAAGTCATAAGCAGAAATCAAGAACAGGAACAAAGAAGGAGAAAGAGAGAGAGAAAAAAAAAGTAAAACAGACTGTGGATGAACAGTTGATAAATTAAAAGTCAGGGAAACGTGTGTAGGGCTGCTTCTTATGAGGAAGACAGAGACTTATCTAGAGGAGGAAGGAAGGAAATAGAAAATCAATGATAAAATGCATTTAAATCTTAGATTTAGTCTTCTCTGCCAGGTTGCTTAATTTGCATTGCCCTGTTCACTAGCTATTTAAAAGATGCTTAAACTCATGTTTTAGGCTATTTTTACAATATTTTGTTACTTATTATGCCTAGGCTTGAGCTCTGGGCCTTGTTTTGGTGAATTTAGCAATTTCTCTGTCCGTACTCCCATGCAGCATTTGCAGGATGATCAGAGTGGAAAGAAAGATGATGTGGATGGCAGGAGCTAACAAAACCTGTGTAGCTGAGCCTGAAGACAGGTTCCAGGATCCCATTTCCTCCCCCATTCATGGTAGACTGAATTTTGATACTTGGGTCTAGATGAGAAACACTACACAAATACCTTCCTTTCCTTGTTGAGTGGAAAGCCCCCAAGGAAGTTATTGTTAAAATGGAAGCCTGAGGCAAGTGGTGGGAGATACGTCATTCTGATTCGTCAAAGTCCAAATCATTTTTATATGTTTTTGTTTAACAAGATTTGTCTGCTCTGTTAAGTGTTACATGAGTGATTGAAAGCCTCACATGGACTCAAGAAATATTATGTGTCAAGAAATATTATCTCCCAAAGAGCGTCCTTAAATGACACCAAAGAGGATCCTGTGTTGTGAGTACTTTAATACATACTGGAAATAAGTTTCCTTTAGCAAGAATTTCACAGTTTTCTCCAGTGAGATCAGTTTTAGTCAAGAACTAAATATCTCACCCTGGGCAGTGCAGTTGCAAAAGAAAAGTTATGCTGATATTCATGAGATTTAGTTTAACAAATAATCCGTTTTTGAATGTGAGACAGTTACCTTTTGTTTTTTGAGTTCCAGTAATGCGCTCAATTTGTAATTTTGCATTTGTTACTAAGCCTACAAAAAAAAAAATCAGCACAGCTTCTGTGTATGTATAGTCTGTGTCTTAAAAACTATTGCAAGAGGCTAGAGATGTAGACTGCAGAAATTACACAATGGAGCTCAGAGAAAGAGGTTTTATGGGTAAGACTCATGTTTAAAACAAAACTCCCAATACTGAAAAAGGAACGAACACCTTTTTATTTTTTTCCAGTTTTACTCTTTAATTACGATACACAAGTAAGTGGATGGGTGTGAATATTAAACTTGGTAGAGACCCAGTTCAGGAGATATTTGTATGCTGAGGTACTGTCCTAGAAAGGGAACAAGAGGCCATAACCAGAGAACAAATGTATCCCAAAGACACCTGCTTCTTAGATCCACCTTGATTTTCCCTATAGTCTTCTTCCATGTCTACTCCTGTAGAATAAA